CGAAGTATCGAGGCGCAGCAGCAACGCCGCCGTCACGTCCTGTCCTGCCGCGACTCTGTTTGACATGAATCAATCCCAGGCCGTGTTGCCCGATCGGGAAGGTTTGACTTGGCGAGCGCCGCGTTACTGGTCGACTGGGACGCTCGGCGGGTGCCAGGCCCTCCCCAGGCAGTACGTACCTTACCGAAGTCACTCCCCAGAGAAAACTGCCCCCCCAAGCCCCCCCTGTCGGATCCACCCATTAAGCTTATTAGCGGCGTGGCAACCTGAATCCCGGCGGAGCTCCTGGCGCTTTAGCAGCGTTTTTGTTAGGCCTTGGCAGAGGCAGCCGCCCAACCTTTATCCCGCGTTGGCCTGAGGAGTGCCCATCCCGTCCAGTCGATGATGACACTCACTCGGTCTGGGGGGCGCAAGGCGCGCGCGCGCGCACACGACGGCTGCCTCTCTGCCAAGACGCGCGACGGCGAAAAAAAAACGCGCTGCCCTGCCCAGCGGAGGTACGAAGGAGGCGAGCGCATCACGACGGAAGCTGGACTGGCTATCTCGCCTCTCCACTACGGAGATCTCGTCTCTTGCCGAGTGGTGTGGTCTCGACCTCCGGTGCGCAACTCCAACGGGCACGTGCGGTCCGCATCGCTCCGCATCCCCCAGGGCCGACAAAAATTGTAGCCTCGACTTTCCCCACGCGCCGTCCAGTCGTCGAGTTTGCCGGCCGAGCCGCGTTCCAATGTAGTATGTACGCCCACGCCCGTGTACACGATAATTGCCTGCCCCCTCCCCTCCTCCCGGCCCCCCGTGCCGTCTCCCAAGGGCCCCGGACGTGCGTGTGCACAGCCTCGTTCTGACATATGCGTGATTTTCACCTTTCGGCGATCATCGCGGCACGGCGGGACTGCTACCAGGTGTGCGTGTTGAACTTGTGTGTGAAATTACTGGTTTTTTTTTTCTTCCTGCGAGGTGATGCAGCGGGGGCGCGCGCCCCCCTCCGCGAACGTCACTTGCCCGACTTGGAGGCGATGGCCGTTGCAGCATGGAACGTACGTGAAACTGGAGAGAATGGCAGTCTGCTCCTGGTCGTGTCGCGTGCCCGTATCGGTTGTTCCTTGCAAGGCCGGGGAACAAACACCATGTGCGTTTCAAACTATTATCGTTCCCATGAATGCAGCAGCGATGCGCGCAAACCAATCGTAGAGACGCACCCTTCTCGCGGATATAGAATGCTTTACTGAAATCAAACATTGTATTGCATGACAATGTTCCCCCCAGCGTAGCTACCCAAAGTTGATGGCGGCTGCTGCGCCATGACCATGTTTGTCTCCGAGAATCATCACCGCAGCAGGGTGATGACATCCACACAAGACAAGCAAACATCAATAATCCAAGTCTACGCCATGAGGCTGTGCAACGCCTGTTTTCGCCGGATCACGGACGTGACCGCTCCGGGATCTCGACCGATGCCGGCAGCATTTCAAGCAACTACAGCCAAGAACCATGAGATGTTGGCGAGGTCGGAGCAACACCAAGTTATCTCGTGCAACGGTTCCTTGAAAAATCATAAACGAGGCAGTGCAAGACAACTCAGCAGCGCCACGAGAAGCTCCCGTCGCAACTGTATCTCAGCATGACCTGATGTCGCCCTCATTTTACGGCAGATGAGCATCGTCAGGCTCGATTTGCCGAATTCAGACTCCAGAGCCGTTGGTCACAAACAATAAACCTTGTTCTCTTGCATCTGGAATGAGGCTGTGCAGCTTTCAGGATCAAGATCCGCACGTAGCGACTCCTCAGACGAAGATATCTCGGGAGACGAAGCGCCTCTGGCGGGTGCAACAAGCATCGCGACGGAGTCAAACTTGAAATTTGAGGCTCCATAGCGGCAAGATCGAGGCAGTGCTGGCCCGAAAACCCTGGAGACCTTGCAGAGCTGGCGTTGAAAATCAATAATGATGCTCCGGGCTGTGGGGATCATGGGCGGTTTCGCGATGGCCTCACCCCCATGGAGGAGGTTCCGCGAGATCCACACGTCGTCTATGGCGGCGACGTGATGTCCTGCACGCCGAGATCGAGGCAGTGCAAAGATGGCACGCTCCCGTCTGCGGGGTTTCAAAGGAGATGGTGTTGTCGGAGCGAAAGCCGGGATATCACTACTTCTCGCGGTCAGCTTCGTGATGTCCGCGTTGTGGTGGTGTGGCGCTTAGACTATGCGGCCAGCCGGCCGGCCGGTTTGCGGCAGGGGGAGAGGAAAGAAGGGGAAGTGCAAGGGGAAGGGGGCTGTGCAATCTGGATCCAGACCATTGAACGCGCTCAGATACGCGAGAGAATGCGTGTAAGCCATTGCTGTCTTGGGTGTGGTGCTCGAGGGTGAGGTGAGGTTGGTGATGTGACACGATGGGCTAGCATGAAGCAGCGGCTCGAACCCCACATAACCCATATCGTACACCCGTCCGAATACTCGCAACAACAGCATCTCGTAACTATTTGCCGATTTCCAAGCCGCGAGCAGATTCACGACCGATTTTGGGTGCCACTGTTACCAGCGACATCATCATGGCCGTGGGTGAGGAGCACGTTGCCGCACAGTCATCGCCCACTGCAGGCACAACGACCCAACAGCAGCAGCCCGCTCCACGACAAGAAAACGACGTTGATCACACACCGCCAGGCTGGCCAACCGAAGCAGACCTCACGGCGACAAGGGGGTCCCATCAAACGGTGGCGGAGGCAGTGCAAAAGACAAGCTACCCGCATCTGCAGCGATCACCCGGGATAGGTAGGCAAAGGAGACCGGGGGACGAGGAGGAGGAGGAGGAGGAGGCGGCCAAGGCGGGACCCGCGGCGGTTGAGCGGCTTCCCGAAAGGGCGTCGTTTTGGAGACCATCGGCGGATGTGGCGTGTAAGTGGTTCAGACAGAGCCCGTGCTGTTGGGCAGGCCATGGCAAGGTTGGGGTAACCAGGGATACAGTGGTCGGCCCCCCTGGCATCTACATGTTTGTTAGTGGGAGCGCCACCTCCAACACGCTCCACGACGAATCTCGTCGCACTGAAACCACCACCACCTCACTGGCTCAACTGCCCCCCCCCCACCCACTCACTTCCATTGTCCGTCGTCGGCCCGTGGGGAACCACTATTAGCTAGCCGTGGGTAAATGGTTCTAGGCTTAAGCTTAATTTTTTGCTCTGCTGCAGAAACCGGAAAGGCACGTCCGCCGCGCACCGCACCGCACCGCACAGCGACCACACACCTCACTCCTGTTGTCTGTGGCTGCCACCTCTAGCACCCGCGGCAGTTGATCTCTCAGGCGACTTCGGGCAATACCCGGACGCCTCCGAACCCAACCAACCCGCCTCCCCCCTCCCCTCTTTCTTTGCGCTCTCATCTCCCCCCATCGAGCAAGGAACCCGAATCTTGTTCGTCCACCTCCAGTAGCATCCGTAGCTCGTGCCAAGATCTTGCTGCGCCTCGATCACAGAGCGTCGACCAACCCTCTGGGAAGGATTTGCCTTCCCGAACTCGGCGGGAAGCTTTTTTCTCATGGGGACTGACAGCCCACGCGCGCGCGGGACCAACCCCGTCTCCCGCTACTATGTCGTCCCCAGGGACAGACAGGGGCGATACGCGCCCGTGAGGAAGATTCCTGCCTTCCCTCCCTCACCCTCCATCTTCTCCCCGCGTTCCCACTCACCCCCAACATCGACGACTACTCCACTTCCCCGCGTTGAACGCCACGAGGGGAGGGGACGAGATGCGCCGAAGCGAGCGAGTAATTCCTCCTCCCGGGGGGTCACGGTGCTAGTAAGTCGACTAGCTTCAGGCCGTGTGCTGTGGAACCTGCCGCGAGAGAGCAGAGAGGCGAGCGGGTCTGGGGAAGCTTGTATCATGTTGCCGCGACGCAAGCTGTTGTCGTCGTGGTCCATGTGGCCGGGGTCGCGAGCTGCCCATCCCTCCCACCCACACCACCGGATGACACGACGACGACGGCCAGACAAATCTTTTCGTCCTCGTCCTCCTTCTCTTTCTCTTCCTTCTTCCCCTCCTCCTCGTAGTCCTGGTTCTCCTCATTCTCCCGAAGAGGCCCAGATGTATATATCTTGACGGGGTTGCACTGCCCTGCCCCCATCGCCGTTGACAGGGTCCACCAAGAAACGTCGCTCCTCCCAGCGTCGCATCCCGTCTCCTGCTAGTCACCTCTAGCAAAGTTACCGTCTCTGCCTGTCTCAGACTGACAACGGCCTGCCTCCCCTTCCCCCACTGGCTCGCAAGCCTAAACGACCGCAGCAACAGCGGCAGCAGGCAGCATGGGCTTCGACCTTCACGCCGAGGGGACAAATGATCCCAAGGATGTGCGCAACCTGCGCACCCACGTGGTGGCCCTCATCGCCTCCATGTCTGCCCTCGCCAGTGAGTCGCTCTCCGGCCCCGCCAACTATCACAAGTACATTCAACGGGCACGGCATTTTGCTAACGGCGGGGGCATGCTTGCCCCAACGGAACAGTGGGCTATGACACGTCCGTGATAGGCGGCACCATGGCGCTGGACTCGTTCCGCCGCGACTTTGGCCTCCTCAAGGCGTCGGGCACGTATCGCGACACCCTGCAGGGCAAC